GGGGCGTGAGATCCTCCCACTGCGGGTCCGGGCCTGAACATCCTCCCCACCTCTCCAATACTTTGGAGACTTGGCACTGATTTCTGTGTAACTTGTTTCTTCTTCGCCCTTTTCTTGACCTTTCGAGTAACGACTCCCCACCGTAAGGACCGCTTTCACCTAATTCACCACTTCAAAACTGAGTACTGCTTGCTTCCAGACGAGGTAGCCTCTGTACAGGTCTCCTTAGAAGCCCTTTCTTTGTCTTCAAAACAACAGTAGGGATCAAGCGGTCTTTTCCAGGAAGCAATCTTTCAACTCTTCCCATTGGCCACTTTCCTCTCACTCCGTCCTCTCTACGAGGGTGCCTGTAAGATCTGCGGTAAGGACGATGACGTCGACGATTCTGTGCCGAACGCTCTTCTCCCTCTTCTCCTTCTTCATGATCACCATCTCGTTCTTCTTGTTCATCGCCTTCCGGGCGTTCCTCATCAGACCTGCTCCTATATCTGGGACGTCGTCTTCGGCGGAGTCGCCTATTCTCCTTATCATCCTCCTCCGGTTTAACCTCTCCGTTGGTAGCGGAGTTGGGCCCGCCACGGGGACGGCGTCTCCCACGACGGAAATCTCGATAGTTGCGGTAGTAGTTTCTTCGGCGGTCCGGAGCATATTTGCTTCCTTGCACAGGGCTTCTATATGGTCCTTTCACGTTGGTTGCTTCTGGACCCTTCGCTCCTTATACAACATCAAACTCCGCTGTCTCCCCATCTCCAACACTGCCCAAGTACTTCTCTGGATTGTTCTTCTTGATGACAGTCTGATGAACAAATATATCCTCCTTGTTGTCATCTCTGTTGATAAAGCCATAACCGTTCTTCACGTTAAACCACTTCACTGTACCACTCACTTTACTGGCAACAACTTTCTTCTCAACCGGCTGTTTTTCTTCAACTTGAGGTTCTTCAATCGTGCTCATGTTGCTCATGTTACAGCCTCGTAGGGCTCTGCTACTAGGTGGTGTTTCCCACAAAGGTCTTTTGATGTTCCGTCTGTTCTCGATGGGTGGCGTCCTCTGTAAGCAATGGCTCTCTCTGGGTTTCTTCTGACCTGTCTTTCGACACTCTCAAGTCTCTTGACTACCTGGAGGTAGTTTGACTTCAATGGCAGAGCATCGCTTTTCCATAATAGTGGTACTTCATAACGCTTACCATCAAACGTCAGTCCCTCATTGAACTGTCTAACGGACTCTTCTTCTTCTAAGGACATAGGTGCATTCCTTTTATCTACAATTGCAATAGATTCCAGCTCCCAAAACTGTTTAAGACTGTCCGTGACTGGATCAATGCACACGGTAGACAGCATGGATTGAGTGTTCTTGGAAGGAAGATCCTCGATGGGTCCTCCTAAAATCCATCCAAGTTTTGACTCTACTGCAGTGGGAGCATGAGTGGCTTCCCCTTTCTTGCATTTACCACTCATAAATGAAAAGTAAAAGTCTGCTCCTATCAAAATATCGACGTTAACTGGTCCACGAGGGTACGAGTTCTGCAGGTCGGGGTAATCTTCTAACCAGATCTCCACTGGTTCTGGTGGTGTGCAGATCTTGTCAATGGTGAGGGCCCCCATGCTAACTGGCGTTGAAATGTTTTCTTGAACAGAGGCGAGCGAGAACCTGACTTTCCTCATTCTCTTCGTTTGACTAGTTTCTCCCCTTAACAGGAATACACTAAGAACCTCAGAAGGTCCATCAAGGGCAAATGATTCGGCAACCTTCTTGGTGATATAAGACCTTTGGCTTCCTGAGTCAAACAAAACCCTTACAGGTGCTCTCTGGAAACCGTCTGAAACCAGCATGGCTGTCCCAGTCTGTAATAAGGTTTGTTGCATCTTGGAGTTGTACGAAGCCACGAATCCACTTAA